GTCTGGGCAACTTGGTGAGACGTCATCTGTACAATAAATCAAAAAAATCAGCCGGGCGTGGTAGCACACGCCTGTAGTTCCAGCTACTTGGAAGGCTGAGGCGGAAGGATCGCCGGAGCCCAGCAGGTCGAGGCTGCGGTGGCTGGGAGCGGCCACTGCACTCCAGTCTGGGCGACAGAGTGAGACTCCAACTCAAAAAAAAAAAAAAAAATTATTCTGTGAGAGGTGTGTGTTACATCTGGTTCATCTTTTAACAGTTCTGTGGTTGTTCTTTCTGGTGGATACAGATTGTACTTGTAGCATGAGTTTCATCAAATAGAGCATTAAAGATGTTTGCTCAAGAGTAGAGATTTAGTGAAATTAATGAAGTAATTTATGTGTAGAAATGAAAGCAAAATCTGTGTATTAGCTCATATATTAGGTATGTTATGGTTTCTTTCCTACCTAAACATAGTGAAACCATCAAGACTCAAGATGTCTGTGATGGGAACCAGTGGAAGATAAACAAGTTCCAACCCAGACTATGTTTTCTGGTGTTGGACTTCAGAGTCACCTCGGAAGCTTTTTAAAAATAGAATGTTTGGCTGGACTTGGTGGCTCAGCCTGTAATCCCAGTATTTGGGAGCCCGAGGTGAGTAGATTGCCTGAACCCACAGGTTCGACACCAGCCCAGGCAACTTGGCAAGACCTCGTCTCTACAATAAATTAAAAAAAAAAAATTAGCCAGGTGTGGTAGCATGCACCTGTAGTTCTGGCTAAATATTTAGAATGCTGAGATAGAAGGCTCTCCAGAGCTCAGCAGGTCGAGCTGGAGTGTCTGTGAGCATGCCATTACACTCCAGCCTGGGCAACAGAGTGATACTCCAACTCAAAAAAAAAAGAAGTAGAATGTTTAAGCTTCGTCACCACTACTACCATCACTGCCAAAGATCCTGTTGTAGTAAGTCCAGCAATCTGGTTTTCTGTATTTCGTTTTTTTTGTTTTGTTTGTCAATATCTCACTCTGTCACCAAAGCTGGAGTATAGTGGCACAATCATGGCTTACTGCAGTTTCAGCCTCCTGGGCTCAGGTGATCCTGCCGCCTCAGTCTCCCAAGTAGCTGGGACAGCAGGCGTGAGCCACCATGCCAGGTTTTGTTTTGTTTTGTTTGTAGAGACAAGATCTCAGTGTGTTGCCTAGTCTGGTCTTGAGCTCCTGGGCTCAAGTGATCCTCCTGCCTTGACCTCCCAAAGTGTTGGGATTACAGCCATAAGCCACCACGCCCGACCCAGTTGTGTTTTTAAAAAAGCTCTCCAGTGATTGTGATGTACAAACCAGCTTTGAAAATCTCTCTTACCTTTTAAAGTCAAGGTGAGAAAGACTTGAACTTGAAGAAATTGTCTGTAATATTTCATCTGTTGTTATATATAAGAGTGTTTCTGACGTTATCAGGAAAGAAAATGTAATATTTTGTCTTTCGTCCCTCCCAGAATTCGATCCTCCTGCACCCTTTGTCACTCGCTTTTTGAACACGAGAGCAATGAAGGAGACCTTTAAGAGCTACATGGAATTACTTGTCAGCATAGCTTTGGACCCTGACACAATGCAGGCCTTGGAGAAGAGCAATGGTACCGTCTGCTAAGTAGTACTTTTTGGTAGTACTTTCTGGAATTTTCTTTTAAATTCTTATCTGTTACATGTTTATATATAGTTTGTGCAGTATGTACCTGTGAATTGTCGGTTAAATACGCAGTATCTCTCTTTAATAAAAGTCATATCTTTGACTATTTGAACAACTTTATATTGAATGTACTTTTATTTCTACTCATGGGAAAATTGTATAGCTGCTCATCAGTTTCTTCCAATTCTAGAATCTATGTCCTCCTTGTATTTCACTAAGTGTCTCCTTCTTGGAAGCTCCTTATGACAATATATTCTGTCTTCCAAGAACTGGAAAGATGAGCCAGATAATAGTGGTGTAAAGGTTAAAATTGTGTATTTGTGTCTTTAGTAGAATATGTCACAGAGAAGCTATTATCTAAATCAATTAATATGGAAACAATATATGCAGTGGGTTATACCAATTACTGTTATTCCTTCTACTCTTCCTTTATTAATTTTTTTATAGTAAAATAGGGATGAAATTGATGCATGAAATAAATGGCATTTCATAGATCTAACATTGCTCAGTATATTCACCTTCAGCGACTGTGGTGTTCATCAGGGCCAAGTAAAAGAAGGGATGGGAAGATTAATGAACTAGTTTCCTTTCTCCTTCTTATATTCAAAATGCATCGGATATCAGATCCAAGACAGTAACTCCTGGGAATAGACAGTCATATATTGCTTAAAGATAAAGATGTGTTATGAGAAATGTGTCATGAACTGATTTCATTGTGCATATGTTATGGAGTGTGCGTACTGCACACTCAGGCTGTATGGTACGGCCTGTTTCTCCTGGGCTACAAACCTGTGCGGTACCTGACCATCCAGAACATTGTGGGAAACACTTGTGTGTCTAACCAGAGCTGAACATAGGAGAGATAACCGGAAGAATAAGGCATTCTCATCTCCTGGGACCACTGTTGTATATGCAGCCTGTTGTTGGACAAAACATCATTATGTAGCCTGTGACTAGATACTGTGTGGTTATTTCCACATACCGAGACACATGTCATTCTATTTTAACCTCAAACCAATTTGCCCATTGTGTGAATAAAGACAGCCAGGCTCTGAGAGATTAAATGACTTGCTTCAGGGCCCACAAACTTGCAAGTGGCAGAGAAGGATTAAAATCCAGTCTTCTGTTTTCTGGTCTGGTGCTTTTCTTCCCATGTAATCTGAGACAGTTATATGCATCTTAGTCACTTTAGCATCATGTGGTGCTAGATGGGACATTAGAGATTACCAAATCTGAAATATGTATTTTGAAGACTAAAGCTCAAAAGAGATTAGTGTGTTTCCTAGTGTTAGAGGTGGAAGAACCATGAGTAAGAGCTAGTGAATTCTCCAGGTCAGAATTTTTGCTACTGAATGTTTTCTCTCAGCCAGAACTCCTTGCATCATAAAATATGCATCTCTTTGTAGTTGTAATTTCTGGTTAGTTATATTTAGAGCTGTTTAAAAAATGACTTATCGAGCCGGGCTCGGTGGCTCAGCCTATAATCCCGCGCCTTTGGGAGGCTGAGGTGAGTGGATTGCCTGAGCCCGCGGGTTCGAGACCCGCCTGGGCAGCGAGACCTCATCTCTACAATAAATCAAAAAATCAGCTGGGCATGGTAGTGCATGCCTGCAATTCCGGCTACTCGGAAGGCTGAGGCGGAAGGATCGCTGGAGCCCAGCAGGTCGAGGCTGCCGTGGCTGGGAGCGGCCACTGCACTCCAGTTCGGGCGACCGAGTGAGACTCCAACTCAAAAAAAAAAAAAAAATACTTATTGGTGTTTTATGATTTTTCTCCATTTAATGTAAGGGGGGGAAATAAATTTAAAAAGTTATAAATTAAACATAATTTACAAATGTTTAAGTTTGTAGTATTTGAATACATTTGATCACTACTAGAAAAATAACATGTGTACAATTTATTTAGCTGTGAAATTCGTAACCTAGAGTCTGAGGATTGTTTTTTATTTCCATAAAGGTCATTAAAGGCAATTATATAAATATAATAAAATACTATGCTGATAAATTTAGAAATAGTCTAGTAAAAAATATTTAATACAGCACCAACACTAATTAACTTACACTCTGAAAGTGCTTTTCTTATGAGAGCTTAAAGTTCAGAATGATGAAATAGCCAAAAAGCTTTGAGTGGAAATCTTTGTCATAATTTTACACCTTTTTTTTCTTTTTTTTTTTTTTTTTTGAGTTGGAGTCTCACTCTTTGCCCAGGCCTGGAGTACAGTGGCATACTCACAGCCACCCCAGCATCAACCTGCTGGGCTCCAGCGATCCTTCCACCTCAGCTTTCCAAGTAGCCAGAACTTACAGGCATGCACTACCACACCCAGCTAATTTTTTATTTATTGTAGAGACACGGTCTCGCCAAGTTACCCGGGTCTTGAACCTATGGGCTCAGGCAATCCACTCGCCTTGGCCTCCCAAAGTGCTGGGATTACAGGCTGAGCCACCGAATCTGGCCTCTTATTTTCTAAAATAACTACTTTGACCCTTAGTTTTTGACACTGGGTTTTGATCATTTTCCTCCCCTACTTTTTCTTTGCTTCAAATTACAGTGAATTAAAAATATCCACACTCATTGTTTTGTGTTAGATCTGTTTGTACTGTGTAATACTAGTGTTGTTTGGGTTGTTCAGATGGAGAATGAGGCCTGTGGAAATTAAATTAGGCAGCATGACCATCGGTCACAGAACTGCCATCTGTCAGCTCTAGTTCAGGCGGAATCCAGTTCTAGGTCATCTGTCAGTTCTAGTTCAGGCATAGTCCAGTTCTAGGTCATCTTTCATCTATAGTTCAGGCAGGATCCAGTTCTAGGTCATCCATCATTCTAGTTCAGGCATAGTCCAGTTCTAGTTTATCTGTCATTTTTAGTTCACGGACAATCCAGTTCTAAGTCATCCGTCAGCTATAGTTCAGGCAGGATCCAGTTCTAGGTCATCAGTCAGTTCTAGTTCAGGCTGAATCCAGTTCTAGGTCAGCTGTCGGTTCTATTTCGGGCTGAATCCAGTTCTAAGTCATCCGTCAGTTCTAGTTCAGACACAGTCCACTTCTATTGGTTCTAGTTCCAGTACAATCCAGTTCTAGGTCATCTGTCAATTCTAGTTCAGCGAAAACCCAGGACTTCTGATCCCAATGAGAAAAGATCACATCATCATGCTAAGCTGCCTCATCTCACTTGCTATGATATACCTACTTTTCAAGTCAGCCTTTGTTCAGGAGGCTTCATGTCATTTTTTTTTTTACAAGTAATTCTTTTTTTTTTTTTTTTGAGTTGGAGTCTCACTCAGTCGCCCAGACGGGAGTGCAGTGGCCACTCCTGGCCACTGCAACCTCGACCTGCTGGGCTCCGGCGATCCTTCCGCCGCAGCCTTCCGAGTAGCCGGAATTACAGGTGCGCGCTACCATGCCCGGCTGATCTTTTTATTGATTGTAGAGATGAGGTCTCGCTGCCCAGGCGGGTCTCAAACCCACGGGCTCAGGCAATCCACTCACCTCAGCCTCCCAAAGGCGCAGGATTACAGGCTGAGCCACCGAGCCCGGCTAAGTAGTTCTTTACATGAGCACAATTTAACGAATGTGATGTCTCATAATGTTTAAGTGTTCTGAAGAAAAGTTGGAGTTGTAACAAGCTTTCACTAATATTGACAGCTTACCCTGCTCAATGACTTGTTTCAGATGAGCTACTTTTGCCTCACATGAAGAAAATAGATGGCATGCTGAGTGACAACCGCAGGAGGCTTCTGTTGAATCTACACTTGGATCCGTCCTTCAAGGTATTTCCTTCTGCTGGGTTTAGACAAAACTCAGTGGCAATCGTGGTCTTGAGTGTAACAGAAAGGAAAATGGATGAACATCATTCTTTCGCCAACGTTTCATCTAACAAAAGTTGGGTGTTGATCATTTGTTTTTTTCACCTTAAATTTATTTTTTGGGCATTTACATTTAACTGTTATTCCTTCTAGAAAATAATTTACAAATGTTTTCTAAAAGTACTTTCTTTAATGCCAAGAACATCTATAATCCCAGCACTTTGGGAGGCTAAAGTGGGTGGATCACTTGAGGCCACGAGTTCGAGACCAGTCTGGGCAACATAGTGAGACCTTGTCTCTACAAAAATATTAAAAACTTAGCCAAGTGTAGTGGCATATGCCTGTTGTTCCAGCTACTTGGGAGGCTGAGGCAGAAGCCCAAGAGGTCAAGGAGTGCCCCTTGGAGTACGACTGCACCCCAGCCTGGGTGACAGAATGAGACCCTGACAAAAAACCCAAAAGTACTTTGTTGAGTTGGAGTCTCACTCTCTCGCCCAGACTGGAGTGCAGTGGCTGCTCCTGGCCACTGCAGCCTCGACCTGCTGGATTCCAGCGATCCTTCCGCCTCAGCCTTCCAAGTAGCTGGAACTAGAGGTGCGCGCTACCACGCCCGGCTGGTTTTTGATTTATTGTAGAGATGAGGTCTCGCTGCCCAGGCGGGTCTCGAACCCACAGGCTCAGGCAGTCCACTCATCTCAGCCTCCCAAGGTGTGGGATTACAGGCTGAGCCACCGAGCCCGGCTACATCTTGGTTTTTTAAAAAAATCTTTCCAAAATGTTCACATCTTATCTATAATTAAAATTAGCTTCATCTTAGCAGTTATCAAAATTCCCTTTACTTGCCTGATCTACCCAATTTCTGAGGGAAAGTTGATTTTCATATAATGGTAGGTGACATGTATATTTGTTAATATATTTTGACAATATAAATATCAACCAAAAAAATATCTATCTTAGCCACTACTTAGTCAAAAAATCTTCCAGCTTATTTTTTTTTTTTTAATTGGAGAAGAAGCCTCTGGATTTATAAAGGTACATACAGGCAAGAATCATACCCCTAACTTTTTCATTCAAAGTGTAACATCACATTTGAATCATCTGATTATTTATACCTTAGGGAACGTTTTTTTTTTTAAATTTAAGTCTTACTCTGTCACCCAGACTGGAGTGCAGTGGCTGCTCCCGACCACTGCAGCCTCGACCTGCTGGGATCCTGCGATCCTTCTGCCTCAGCCTTCTAAGTAGCTGGAAATATAGGTGCACGCTACTATGCCTGGCTAATTGTTTTTTTTTATTTATTGTAGAGATGAGGGCTTGCCAAGTTGCCTAGGCGGGTCTCGAACCTGCGGCCTCCGGCAATCCACTCACCTCAGCCTCTGAAAGCGCGGGATTACAGGCTGAGCCACCGAGCCCGGCCTTTTTTTTTTTTTTAAAAGAAACAGGGTCTTGTCAGTCACAGTGGCTCACACGTGTAATCCCAGCACTTTGGGAGGCCAAGGCAAGAGAATTACTTGAGCCCGGGGGTTCAAGACCAGTGTAGGCAACTTGGTTAGACCTTGTCTCCACCAAAAAAAAAATGAGCTGGACGTGGTGGCACACATGTGTGATACTAGCTACTTGGAAGACTGGGCAGAAGGATCACCTGAGCCCAGCAAGTCGAAGATGCTGTGGCTATGAGTGTGCCACTGTTCTCCAGCCTGGGTGACAGAGTGAGACTCCAACTCGAAAAAAAAAAAAAAAGAAACGGGGGTGTCTCTCTGTCACCACCTGGAGTAAAGTGGTGTATGATGACCACTCATTGTAACCCTTAACTTGTGGACCTGAGTGGTCCTCCCACTTCAACTTCCCAAGCACCTAGGACTATAGGCATGTTTCACCATGCCTAGTTAATTTTTTGTAGAGACAGGATGTTACTGTTAGCCAGCCTGGTGTCAAAGTCCTGACTTCAATCAATCCTTCCCCTCAGCCTCCCAAAAGACTCAGATTCAGCTTGTCAATTTCTGTAGGAAAATTTGCATTGAGTCTGTATGTCAATTTGGGGGATACTACAACTGTACAGCTTTTCCACATCCCTATTTAAGTTAGGCTCTGAGATTGAGTTCAGCACTAATGACAGTACAGTGTATTCGTCATCAAAGTCTTCACTGTCTTGTCCTTATAGGAGAAATGAAAACGCCGGAGCTAGTAAGAAGTCCAGTGCCAAGAATTTAGTCTCCTGACTCCTAGTCCAATGTTTTCTGCTTAACTGCTGCCTTCAAATAAGATAATTCTTTTGTGAAATGCCTTATTTTCTGGAGACAAGGGAATGTTTTTCAAAGGACGTTCTCTGAAGATTTATTTAATCTTTAAAACTCAGTTTTGGATAGTCGTAGAAATATCTAATCAGCTGGAAACAGTGGCTCACACCTGTAATCCCAAAACTTTGGGAGGCGATGGCGAAAGGATTGCCTGAGCCCAGGGGCTCAAGATCAGCCTGGGAAACTTGGCAAGACTCCTACACAACAATAAATCAAAAAACTAGCCGGGCATGGTGGCGCACATCTGTAATTCCAGCTACTTAGAAGGCTGCGGCAGAAGGATTGACTGAGCCCAGTAGAGTGAGCGTGTGTGAGTGGTAGAGTGAGGCTGACTCAAAAATACATAAATATTTAAATAAATATTAAAGCTTTTGAAATAGTCCATAGTGAGCAACTAAAAAATTAAAATTTTCATATTCTTTCATAGGAATAAACAAGATTTCTAACTTTGGAATTAAAATTATTTTGATATTTTCCCATAAAGCAATTTGCATCTCAAAGCCAAATGAGTCAGTGTAAAAAGTTAGAATGCTTTGAAATAAAATCTGACAAATAGTAGATTAAGAAAGATTTACAGTCGGGTGGGGAGGAGGGTGCACAACATCAATAAGGGAATCTGATCTCAAACCAGGCAAAATGGGGACCAAAGCGAGGCTCAAACTTTACCAGTACAATGTCCACTTATACACCTAATCCTGAATTGTACCCCATATCTTTAAAATAAAATATTTTGGCCAGTCTTGGTGACTCAGCCTGTAACCCCAGCACTTTGGGAGGCCGAGGCAAGTGGATTGCCTGAGCCCACAACTTCGAGACCTCGTCTCTACAATAAATCAAAAAAATAAAATAAAATAGCCGGGCGTGGTAGTGCGTGCCTGTAGTTCTGGCTACTTGGAAGGCTGAGGTGGAAGATTGCTGGAGCCCATGGGGTCAACACTGTGGTGGCCATGAATATACCACTGCACTACTCTGGCCTGGGTGACCAATGGAGTAAGACTCCAACTAAAAAAAAAAAATTTTTTTTAAATAAATAAAGATTTTCTGTCCTTGGGAAACTTACAGGAGTGAGGCCTGAAGCCTTTGGAAGCTAGAGAAGCTCTGTCCTCTCATGAAATCCATGGACTTCAGATTGTTTAGGCATCTGTGCTCATTGGAAAGATTTAAATTTTCTCCTTTCATCTCTACTCACCTGGTGTTCATTGTTTCCAAATTTAGAATCTATTAGCCTTTAAATTTCATTTGTTGTAAATAGTAACTCTGGGTCCAAAAATTTTCAAGCCTGGACATGCTTTATTTTTTATTCTTTATTTTTATTTTTTAAGTTGGAGTCTCACTCTGTCACCTAGGCTGGAGTGGAGTGGCACATTCATGGCCACTGCAGCCTCAACCTGCTGGACTCTGGCGATCCTTTCACCCCAGCCTTGCAAGTAGCGGGAACTATAGGCACATGCTACCACGCCCAGATAATTTTTTGATTTATTGTAGAGACGAGGTCTTGCCAAGTTGCTCAGGCTGGTCTGGAACCCCTGGACTCAGACGATCCTCTCCCCTCGATCTCCTAAAGTGTTGGGGTTACTGCCTTGAGCCACTGCATCCGGCTGGACATGCTTTAAATGGAAAACATCACACTATATAATAAAAGAAAAAGATACCTTGAGAAAAGAATGAAACTAGAAACTTATCGCTCACTCTGGTAGGAAATGCCAAAAGTTGTATTGTTTCTATTGAATAAAATTTAGTTTCCTCTTACACTTACTCTAAGAAAAAATTAGATTATTGAGGTTATTTGTAGGCTTTTTGTTTGTTTTTTATAGAGACACTGTTTATAGAGACACTGTGTTGCCCAGGCTTGTCTGGAACTCCTGGCTTCAAGTGATTCCACTGCCTCAGTTTGCCAAAGTGTTGCGATTACAGGTGTGTACCACTACACCCAGCTGGGATATATCTGTTTTTAAGAATGTACTGTTAGCTGGGCTCGGTGGCTCAGCCTGTAATCCTGCGCTTTGGGAGGCTGAAGTGAGTGGATTGCCTGAGCCTGTGGGTTCGAGACCCGCCTGGGCAACTTGGCAAGACCTCATCTCTACAATTAAAAAAAAAAAAAAAAAAAAATTAGCCAGGTGTGGTAGCGCACGCCTGTAGTTCCAGCTACTTGGAAGGCTGAGGCAGAAGGATCGCTGGAACCCAGCAGGTCGAGGCTACATTGGCCGGAGTGGCCACTGCACTCCAGTCTGGGCGACAGAGTGAGACTCCAACTAACTCAAAAAAAAAAAAGGTACTGTTTTTGGGCTGGGCACGATGGCTCAAACCTGTCATCCCAGCACTTTGGGAGGCCAAAGCGAGAGGAATTGACTGAGTCCAGGGGTTCGAGAATAGCCTGGGCAACTTGGCAAGACCTCATCTCTACAATAAATCAAAAAATTAGCCGGGCGTTGTGGTGCATGTCTTGTCAAGTCAAGGCTGTGGTGGCCGTGAGCATGCCACTACACTCCAGCCTGGGCAACAGAGTAAGACTCCAACTCAAAAAAAAAATGTACTGTTTTCAGAGTCAAAGTATGGGGACAGCATATGTTTGGAACAGACTGGCCTTAGAGGTTGTGACTGTTGATAAGGCAGCTGAGTTTTTCAAACGAGGACTAAGTTGTGAACCATGGGAACACTTCAGCTCTTTTAATAAATGATGGTAGATGCTCAGTGTAATTTTGTAAAACTGTGTTCACACTAGTTAGATTTAGCTACAGGTATGCTTAAGTCACTACTTACAGCTTTTCATGTCAGGATGATTTGCAACATAGATAAGATCATCTGTCTATGCCAGTGAGTTTTAAAGAGTGGAGAGGCATTGGTTTTGCACGTGGCCACTGTATTATCAGCAGGAGCTGCTGTGTTGGGGTCGGAAAGCTCCTCAGTTGGGTGAGTGTGGAGGCCAGAGCAGTGCCTGTGCCCAGGAAACCAGTCCAGACAACTTGGCGGGACCTCATCTCTACTGTAAATCAGGAAATTAGCTAGGCATGGTGGCCTGTGCCTGTAGTCCCAGCTACTTGGAAGGCTGAAGCGGAAGGATGGCCTGAACCCAGCAGGTGGAGGCTGGGTGGCCGTGATCAAGCCTCTGCACTCCAGCCTGAGCGACAGATAAATAAGTAAACAAATAGAAAGCTCCTCAGCTGTTCAGGACACTCCTCCCACAATCTGAGCAAGGGCAGCGTGGCGCTTCCTGCACTCTGTCCCATCTCACCCGTGTCAGAGGCCGCCTTATTGCCAGCCTCAGCCACACTTCAGGGCGTGGCCGTGGCTTCAGTGGTAGAGCTTTGACGGAGTTGCCGTGTCCCTCCTTCCCCTGCCTTGAGCAGAGTCCCCAGGGTGTGGCGGCTGTTTCGTGAGCAGGTCATGGGGTTGGCTCAGGTTCACGGGATGGGGAAGAGAGTCCACACCTGGGAGGAGGCGCTAAGGACTTGTGACCGTGTTTGAGCCCCTGTGTGTGTGTGTGTGTGTGTGTGTGTGTATCCTACATGCATGCGTTTCCCACCGCCCATCCATCACATACCTCTTGTCACACCCCCCTCTGTGTGTGCGCCTATCTATATTTGGCATAGCTGGGAGTGCTTCGAGCTCGCTTTCCTCCAGTGTCAGCTATTTTGCTTCATTGTTTTCCAGAATGCTTTGGAAAGTTTTCCTGAGCTAACGATAATTCCCCGAGACTCGAAAGCAAAAAGTGGAGGATCTGCTGTTTCTAAAATCAAAATGAATGGCCGAGCTTACAACAAGAAGACGCTAAGGACTTCTAAAACAGCCACCAAATCTGCACAAGTAAGTCAGAACTGTTGACTGTGCTGAACCCGTAGTTAATGCAGTTCCTACGTAAGCATTGAAACAAGCAAATGTTTGGTGGTGTTGTCATTGTGCATGAAGTCTTCCCAGGCAGGAGTCAGCAAGGTAGGGGGCACAGGGACCCTGTGCTGTGGTGGGTTTCTCCAGTGCCTGGTGAAGTCTCAGGCACAGTGCATGTGCTCACCAATTTCTTAAAACAGACTAATAAGGAAGAAACCATCCCATGCTTGTTTTCGTATATTTGTGTGTGGTGTTTTTAGTTTTATTTTTTTAATTGACAAATAAAAATTGTATGTATTTATAGTGTAAAAAATGTTGTTTTGAAATGTAATACATCATGAAATGACTAATTCAGGTTGGCTGACTCAGCATTATCTGTGAACATACATATATGTCATTGGACACACGTACAAACAGGTGAGCACACACATTCCATAGGAGACTAAACAGTTCAAATCTGCAAAGGCATTCGTCTTGGAGTTCTCTCATCTTTCAGACATAGTATAAGTTGTTAGAGCCTTTTTAGGAAACAGCTTGAAGCATACTAACTTCACCTCAAAAAGTATTCCATAGAAACATAATCTGTCACAGAAGTAAAGAAAATAAAGTTAATGTTTAAGAAGTATTCTGGGACTAGGCTTGGTGGCTCAGCCTGTCATCCCAGCACTTTGGGAGGCTGAAGCAAGTGGATTGCCTGAGCCTGTGGGTTCGAGACCAGTCCCAGCAGCTTGGTGAGACCTTGTCTCTACAATAGATAAAAAATTAGCCAGGCACAGTAGCACGCACCTATTTCTGGCTATTTGGAAGACAGAGGCAGAAGGATTGCTGGAGCCCAGCAGGTCGATACTGGAGTGGCCATGAGTATGCCATGGCACTACAGCCTGGGTGACAGAGTGAGACTCCAACTCAAAATAAAGTATTCTGAGCCAGGCACAGTAACTCAAGCCTGTCATCTCAGCAGTTTGGGAGGCCGAGGCGAGAGGACTGCCTGAGCCCAGGAGTCTGAGACTAGCCTGGGCAACTTGGTGAGACCTCATCTCTACAATATGTCAAAAATATTAGCTGGGTGTGGTAGTGCACCCCTGTCGTTCTGGCTACTTGGAAGGCTGAGGCGGAAGGATCGCCTGAGCCCAGTAGGTCAAGTGGCCGTGAGCTTGCCACTGCACTCCAGCCTCGGAGACAGAGTGAGAGTCCAACTCAAAGAAAAACAAAAGAAGTATCCTGAGCCAGACGCGGTGGCTCACCCCTGTAATCCCAGCACTTTGGGAGGCGGAAGTGAGAGGATTGCCTGAGCCAAGGTTTCGAGCCCAGCTTGGGCAACTTGGCGAGACCTCTTCTCTACAATAAATCAAAAAAAGGCAAGGTGGCTCAAGCCTGTGGTTCCAGCTACTTGGAAGGTGAAGCAAAAGGATCGCCTAAGCCCAGCAGGTCAAGGCTATGGTGACCGTGAGCATTCCCCTGCACTCTGACCTGGGCAACAGAGTGAGACTCCGACTCAGTCAATCAGTGTATTCTGTAGAAACGCACCCACAAATGCGTAAAATGCATGCCTTTGCTCATTACAGAATTGCTTGTGAGAGCAGTCCTCTGATGTACCACCAGTATGGGGTTGGATAAGGAATCCCCAGACACCTTATCCAACCAGGATGCAATAACTATATACTCTTTTAAGAGAGAAGATAGATTCGTTCGTTCTTTCAAAAATAAATCTCTGAGTGCCCGTAGCATGCCCAGTACCGTTCTGACTAGGAACAACACAGAAATCTGGGCAGAAGTCCTTACCCTGTAGTTTATATTTGGGGGATGAGAAATAGCTGATTTTTTTACCTTGTTAGGTAAACAACAAGTTGGAAAAGAGTACAGTAAGTGTAGCGGGGTTCCCTCCCGGTAACAGTTCGGTGGCATTAATGTGTGTTCCACCTGGGGGGACACATGAAAGAAGGTGTCACATGCCATTAGCCTTGGTCATCTCTGATAACAGGAAGCTTTTACGTTGTGAGTCGTAAGTTTATTGTTTAACTTTTTCTATGTTTGCATTTTTAAAAATACCGCATATTTATATTTAGGAAAAAGAGTAAAGATTTTAAAATACAGCCTAAATTCTTGTGTTGAATAAGCCTCTCTAAATTAACACAGCCTTATACCTATATATATGTCATTTTCAACAGTGCCATTGAGACTCTTTATCAAATATTTTCCTAAAAGTATTCTCAGCTCAGATTCTCCATGAAATAAACTTTCTTTTTTTTATAGGAGTTTGCTGTCGATCCAGAGAAAATACAGTTGTATTCTTTGTATCATTCACTCCATCATTATAAATATCATGTTTATCTGATATGTAAGGATGAGGTAATTTCTTCTCATTTATTTAAAAAAGAAATAATGTTTTTCTGGGCTTTACCGAGACTCTAGTATTTTGAGTGCTTTAGAGAGAATCGTTGCGCAACACTGTGGGTGTGTATTTTGCTGTACAGGGTCCTGCACATGGTGACTGAATGGCTGCTGCGAGTCTGCTGGGCTTGTGCTCGGCTTTCCCCGAGCCCCTGGCTTCCTATGGGAACTGTGCTTGATCCTGTGCTGGCGCTGCTTAGTGCTTGCTTGACACTGCCAGATTCCTGGTGTTGTATCACACTGTGTTCTGGACCATGTGTCATGAGCCTGCTTTAATTCACTTCAGTCGCTGCTGTGCTGTCTCTGTCTTACCTGTCACTAAAACGGCCTCATCCCACTTAATTGCAGAGTAATGGGGTTTTGTGCCTTGGCCTGAAAAAACGAAAGTTGAAGTATTTGGACCAGGCATGGTGGCTCACACCTGTAATCCCAGTGCTTTGGGAGGCCAAGGCAGGATGATCACTTAAGGCCAAGAGTTTGAGACCAGCTTGGGCACCATGGCAAGACCCTGTCTCTGCAAATAAAGAATAAATGAATGAATAAACTGGGTGTAGTGGCATATGCCAGTAGTCCCAGCAGCTCTGGAGGTTGAGGTGGGAGGATTGCTTGAACCTGAGAAGCTGAGGCTGCAGTGAGCCATGATGATGCCCCTGCACTCCAGCCTGGGTGACGGAGCAAGACCCTGTCAGGAAGAAATGTAAGGATCTGGCCAGGTGTGGTAACTCTCACATGTGATTCCAGCACTTTGAGAGGCCAGGGCTCGAGGCCAGTACGTTCAAGACCAGCTTGGGCAACATAGAGAAGACTCTGCCTCTACAAAAATTTTAAGGTTAACGGGGTGTGATGGTGCACACCTGTTGTCCCAGCTACTCACTCAGAGGCTGAGGCGGGAAGATCCCTTGAGACCAGCCTGGACAGCAAAGCAAGGCACCGTTTCTACAAAAACATTTTTTGAATAAAATAAAGAATTTAAGTATCATAAATGTTAAGTTGTTCAGCAGTGATATATGACAGAATACCACCATGTGCATGGGCTGTAAGGATAGTGTTCTCAGGCTCAGCTGTAGACAGCACTGCCTCATTTGACCATTATCAGTTTTTTAACTAAAAAGGGCTAAGCTGGCCCAAGGCTCTACCTCACGTGTTTGATAATAGTCTGGCATGGAAGGATGCTCATAAACCTAGCTTTTATTTAGCAAAGGAAAAAGCAGTGATGGTGATGCAAACTGTGTTAACTATTTCTACGATGCTCTAAAATGCAGAGTTGACGCCAAAATTTGCCATTCATCTTTTAACACAATTGGAAGGAATCGAGACGGTTCGAAGTATTTTTCTAGCCTTCCTTTCTGCCCCCACGGAGCCAAAGATGGGAGGATTAGACCTCATCCAAATTTATCTGAAATAATCATTGTCCATGGATGGGATTAAGAAAAAATAAAAGATCAGTACTCATAGGTGAATTAATACATCTTTATTCAAGACATAGAAAGTTCTTGTGAAGAATATAAGTCTGAAGTGTCAAGCTGATGTGGCAATTTTCTTCCTTGTAGATTTCTTCGGTGCAGAAAAACAATGGAGATTTAGGGCAGGAGGAAATTGTCCAACTCTGTATGAAAAACGTAAAATGGGTGGAGGACCTGTTTGAAAAATTTGGAGAACTTCTAAATCATGTGCAGCAGAAGTGCTCCTAACGGCTCCCAAAGTCTGCCTTCTTCATAGCACTGGTGGAAGAGCCTGTGGAGTGGCCCGAGAGAGTCGCAGGCTGGGTCGTGTCCTCCTTCAGGCCTGCCACTCATCATGGAACTGCCCCGCCTGAGCTGGGGACAGTGGTGCTGCCACAGAAGTCAGTCCTCTGGAAATGGACCTGAAGCCCACGTGTTTTTTCCTGATGAAACATTTTTCTCTTTTGTAAATCATCGGGTAATGAGTTTTATTTTCAGAAATGTTTTTGACAAATGAGGAAGCATGCACTAAATAAAATTTTTCTTTATTGCTAGAAAAATAACACTTAAGTAATTGATTTTTTTGTTTTCCGAATCTCGCTAAACACCAGATGAAGCTTGTTTTCATGCCTGGCCACAAAACCGAAAGTATTGTACATGGCGTGAACAGATCAGGCATGATGTGACATCCTGTGAGAATATCACCCACTTGAAATGTAAATTCAGACACTGCACTCTGCTTTATAGACTCCTTTCACTCTTAACATGTTCAGGAAGCTGGATGTGGAATCGGTGCAATTCTAGGACTGCTTTTTGTGTCAGATTATATTGTGATGAGAAAAACAATGACATGCTGTGTCCCTATCTCAAAGAAAAGTATTTTTGTTTATGCTGTTTTTTCCTTTGGAAAATTTCCAATTGTACATTTAATTTCACATTATAATAGTTGTATTTTTCACAAGGCAGATGTTATCATTGTGTTTGATGTGTCTGTACTACACTTTTCATTATTTTCAGTAAATCTTATTTAGTTATATGTTGAACTTCTATTGTGAATTCTGTCTGGAGGTGACCATTCTTGTCCCTACGGATTTGCTTCAGTGTTATCCAGAATATGCATTCAGTACTAGAATTAGTTTAGCTTTATAAATGGGGCTGTGTTAGACACTGCAGTAATTTTCTAATTCATAAAACAAATGACTACGCTCACTCATGATCAACTAATTTGTCAAGATAAAAGTCTAACGATGTGACACATTTTGAAGAATGGATCGGTCGTTAGACTGCATGCAGTGTTCTCCACAGCATCCCTGACGCTTAGAACTAGAAGTATTAGCCTCTCCCTTGGTGCCTTGCCAATCTCTATACACACCAGTGTACCTTCCTTCAGTGTGGTGGGTAGCGTTCTGAGTAGTTTAGCTGAGACAGTGAATGTATTAGGTTCAACATGACCTTGTGTTTTATTTGCGTTTGCCAACAGGATGCCTTATTTGTTTGAGAAAAGATGTACTAGTGTCATTCTAAGCTATCTCCTTTTTTAGGATTCCGGAGACATGAATCATCGTGCTTTTGTTTCTGTGACCACCGTTTAGTGCCTTAAGTCCTACCCAACAAGCAGTGTTTCTGCTCGACGCCCAAATAAGACGTGCTCATGTGGTTGATGCTGTTTTCTGGATTTTGAGTTAACAGGCCAACTTCTTACGCTGAAAATCTCAGCAAACTGACAGAGAACTGCAGGGAACATGTGACTTGATTTGAGAATAAAACAGTATAGCATTGGGCGACAATGCGTCTTTGACTGAAGCGCACGTATTTCCGATGGTTCCCTTATTAAGAAGCAATAATCCTTAACAGTGCACTTGCCATTAGACTAGGTACTCAACAATGGACGTTTCTCTCGAGGGTTAAATGTACCTATCAGCTTCATTCTGCCTGACTCATGAGAGATGCAGAGATCAGAGTAGAAACATCCTAAGACTAATGTTGGCGGTGGAGAAGAGGGGGAAGCAGCCGTTTTTCTTTCTGGTCATATTGACTCTGGGCAGAACTGGTATCTCGTTTCCATGTGTGAGTAGGGAACCACACCCAATGTGTCTAAGTGTGCATGTTACATTAGCCCCAGCTTGCTTTCCTGAGTCATTGATCTTTTAAAGCCATCGACATTCAGGAAGCTCTGGAAGTAGAGACTCAAATTCACTAGCCCTGCTTTTTTCATGCCGTGCCCCATGGAAAACAAAGATGGTTCCTTAAAGTTGACCTGCGTTTCCCACAGAAATCACCCATTTCTTTTTGAACTGCAGTTGCCCTCAAATGGCTTGCAGCTGTATTCATTTTAGTTCCAACAATAGGGTCTTTATCACATAGGAGGCTAACTCTGTGATCCTGCCTCAAGGGGACCCTGTTGTGTTGTGTCATCTGCTCCCATTTGACCCAAGTAGCATAGGCAAACTGTCAACCTCAGGCTGCCCCAGAGAAGAGCAGGAGGATGGTTATAGCAGCCGCATATGAGTTCTCTCTCTGTACGAAGTTGAATACAGTCGTGTGTTGCTTAACACATGGATACATTCTGAGAAATGCATCGCTAGGCAGCATCGTCATGTGGGTATCACAGAGTGTATTTACACAAACCTGGGAGCATAGCCTACCCCACACCGAGGCTATGCCATGTAGCCCATTGCTCTTGGGCCACAAACCTGTACAGCACGTTACTGTCCTGAGTGCTGTGGGCAGTTGTAACACAATGGTTTTGTGTTTCTAAGCACAGAAAGGTACAGCAAGAATACGGTGGTGTAATCTGAAGGGACCACTGTTGTACACGCAGTCTGAAAAGTTGCGCGGTGCATGACTATAGATACCTAGCTGGTTAGCATTTACATTCCTTGCCAGGGAGTTTGAAATTTATAATACAGAAATAACTTTAGGTTGTAAATAGAGTCAAAGAGGTAAAGCACATTTTGCTACAATCCAGGAAAATATTTTTAAGGAAGGTTGGATTTTCCTACCTATAGAGACCCAGAAGTAATTTGATGTAAGGATAAATAACTTTGTGTTGGTGTTTATTGCTCGTTCAGACAGGTGGTCGGAGAGGGGCCTCCTTGGTGTCACTTGTCATTCTAACTCAGTTTCCACTTATTTGATCTCTAGTGAAGTCACATTTATGAGGACGTATGAATTGTCACAGTAAGTTGACATTAGAAGCTGCCTGTTTCTCTGTCACACTGTCCAATAGGAAACATGGGTAAAATGGGGGAAAAAAGAATCTCATTCTAAAATGCTTTAGGAGATGTTCCAATTACTTTGAATTCTCAATTTCTTTACGTTTCTAAAACTTGAAAATATATAGATGGACTCGTGCATTAGGACTGTTTGCAAAGCTTTCCTCACATTTTGAAGTGTAGTTTTCCTTTTGATGCACATATTTATTTTCCTGCAAGCAGCTACAGTCCAGCCCGTGACTTTGGAGAAAGACCTGGAAATCCAACATGGCAGCAGTGCTACGGAAGCAGCTTCACATGTGCAAATGCACATCTCATTGTGTTTGTGTTTCCATCTGTTTCTCAGAAACGCTTTTCAAACAGTGAAATATCCCAGGATAACTGCTTCTGTGTCACTTGCATTTGACGCGTAACTGCACAAACGAGCAATGTACACTGTTGGCCGTGCATTAACTTACATGTACAATTTTTGGCATCTGTGTTCACAAATGCATGTGTTCGCAAATCACCTTTATTTATAAGTGACAATAATCGACAATAAGGACATAAACCTGCATTTGTAGTCCAGAATTTCCATTTGGTCCATGATACAATGTTTGGAAATGTGAAAGACAATTTTGTATATTTCTTTGTTACTAACTCAGATCATTAAAATGAAAACAATTTTTTAAACAACAAAATTGGAATGCTTGGGGGTTTTTTTGGTTTGTTTTGTTTTTTAAAGAATTGAAAACTGAGGTATTGTATGACCATAAAGCATCATTGTGTCATCAGTTCCTCCACAGCACGTCATTAAAGTTATTAGATACAAATGACACTGGACCCACCCATTGTTGACTCAGATGATTATCGTTAAGTCACTATTTGATGAATTACACAGCCTTAGCTGACAATATCAGAACACAACTAGTTTCTGTTTTAAGATACAACTCTTAGCCCTTTTCCATTTCTATAAACTGAATAGATTTTTTTTTTTTAAAGTTTGTACTAGGCTGGGCTCAGTGGCTCACGCCTGTAATCCCACATTTTGGGAGGCCGAGGTGAGTGGATTGTCTGAGCCCGCAGGTTCGAGACCCGCCAGGGCAACTTGGCGAGACTGCATCTCTATAATAAATCAAAAAAGTTAGCTGGGCATGGTAGCGCGCGCCTGTAGTTCCAGCTACTTGGAAGGCTGAGGCGGAAGGATGGCCGGAGCTCAGCAGGTCGAGGCGGTGGCCGGGAGTGGCCACTGCACTCTAGCCTGGGCGACAGAGTGAGACTCCAACTAAAACAAACAAACAAAAAGAAATATTTTATTACCAGAAACATAAGAAAGCTCCTCATGCTTGTTTAAAAAGTCAGACGGCCGAGGCGAAAGGATTGCCTGAGCCCGCGGGTTCGAAACCTGCCCGGGCAACTTGGCGTGACCTCGTCTCTATAATAAATTTTAAAAAACCTAGCTGGGAGTGGTAGCGCACACCTGTAGTTCCAGCTCCTTGGAAGACTGAGGCGGAAGGATCGCCGGAGCCCAGCAGGTCGAGGCTGGGGTGGCCGGGAGCAGCCACTGCACTCCAGCCTGGGCGACAGAGTGAGACTCCAACTCAAAAAATAAAAAAATAAAAAAAAGACGGTATGGAAGCGTGTGGAGTGAGGGAAGCAGACAAGCCTCTGCTGAGTCCTGATACCAGCCTGGAGGTGCTTCAGTCCCCGGCAGGGGAGGGGTCCGCAGAGCACCCTTCCCTCTGGTGTCGCATCGAGTAAATGCCCAGATTTGAGAGGCCAATGTCTAAACGAAAAATAAGCAGTGAAGCAAAGCATGGGTGACTGAGTGAGACTCTGACTCAAGGAAGAAAACAAAAAACAAAAGCAAAAACAAGACACCAGCAACAACCTGACAGAAATACCTGGCTTTAGAATGAGTTTTTAAAACGAGCCCTGTTTCCTCTGCTTGTGTCCAAGATTTAACGCTGCTGATGGCCACTCCGTGGAAGGTCTCTCCAGTGCCAGTCCTCTGGAGTTCATTATGCGATAGTGTTATTTGATGAAAGCAGGAGTCAGGAAGTTGGGACTGTTCTCAGCCGGCGCTAATGTGAGCGCAATAGCATTATCGCAGGCGTTTGCAAACAGTTCGCTATAAAAAAGATTACCAGTGAAAGCACCACTTGCAAAGCTTGCCTGCCTCAACCATGCCCACACTGCTCAAGAACAAGTATTCTTCCATCCACCGGGAAATACGAAACGCCATCACCAAGGCTTCTGTGATCTCCCCACGATGCCTTCACAAGACTCCACAGACAGGCTGGGCGTGGCGGCTCATGGCTGTAATCCCCTCACTGGGAGGCAGAAGAGGGAGGACTGCTTGAGCCCAGGAGTTTGAGACCAGCCTGAGCAACAAAGCCAGACCTGGTCGCTACAAAGAATGCAAAGAGTAGCTGGGCGTGGGGGTGCTCGCCTGTCGTCCCAGACACTCGGGAGGCTGAGGTGGGAGGCTCACCCGAGTCCAGGAGGTTGAGGCTGCAGTGAGCTGCGATTGCACC